CCTCTACATTCAATGAGTATCCTCTACATTCAATGAGTATCCTCTACATTCAATGAGTATCCTCTACATTCAACAAACATCATCAAGGTAAACGGTTTTCATTGAATGAAAAAACCTTTCAATTTTTCACATACAAAAAAAAAAGAACAAACTATTGCACATCATAAACAAGAAGGAGCTCATTAAATATATAGATTAGCTTAGGTCCAGGTTTCACTTCTTTCCTCTAAGTTACAGTTTCGAGCTTCAGCAATAGTTACAAGTTATTAGGGTAAAATGGGTAAGCGTAAGTCGTCCACGAGAAAACCGGCGAAGAAGATAAAACAAACATTAGATACGCAATTTACTTGTTTATTTTGTAATCATGAAAAATCAGTAATATGTACTATGGACAAGAAGAATCTTCTTGGTGAGTTACATTGTAAGATATGTGGTCAGAATTTCCAGACTGCTATACATAGTTTATCACAGGCTGTTGACATTTATAGTGATTGGATCGATGCGTGTGAGGATTTGGCAGAAGATGCCGAGGGAAATAACGGTGAAGAGCAAAGAGAAGGTGAAATTTATTCTGATGATGACGAGGTTGGTGATGCAGAGAGGAGAAGGGGGCGTAGTGGAGAAGGTAGTGGTGGTGGAGCGGGAAGAGATATGATCGACTCTGAAGATGAATACTAAAATGACTATTGACACCTATCGACACTATCGACACTATCGAGCAGAGCGAGATAGTGGAGCAGCACTGACTGCCACCAACACTATCGAGCGACACTGACTGCCACCAACACTATCGAGCGACACTGACTGCCACCAACACTATCGAGCGACACTGACTGCCACCAACACTATCGAGCGACACTAGCTGCCACATACATCTCAAAACAAAACGATGAACCATGATTGCAAAGATATTTAAAGTGTATATTCTTATTCAAATAAAATAAAAAAAGGCTCGATATAGTCTGTTTCTCTCTATGTATATAGTCTCTTTCTCTCTATGTATATAGTCTCTCTCTATATATATATCTCACTTTCCTTTCATCAAGATGCAAACTTGTTTAGAATTTGATCATATGTTTCGTTCAAACTTGAATTTTCATCCTTGGTTGAGTCTCCTGCTACATTATTCTTGACATCCTCTATTTCTTGTTCAATAGCTTCTTTGGTAGATTTGGATGGATTTTTTGACAAATCTTTCAATTTTTCTTCAATAGTCTTAATATCCAGCACGTCCCGATTCTTCTCATCCAAGTCCGAGTCTCCACTCTTCCTTTTTTGTTGGAAAACTTGTTCCAAAGAAAGTCCATTCGATTTCGTTTTTTTCAAATACTCAATAATCTTATCCAGATCGGAAAGTTCAATACTCATTAACTTCTTTCTCAATTCTTCTCCCAGCAAATCACAATCTTCCACACTTGGCTTATCGAAATTCTTCAACTTAGAAAGCCTCAAGACAGACCCTTCTTCTCTATTTAAATTTACCAAATTGGTTCTTGAGTTGGAATTCGAGCTCAAGGGACTTTTGTTTATTGGAGAAACTACTGCAGGGATATCAGGCGCCACATGTAAATGAGTTTGACCATCATGAGAGTGAGCTCCTGCTTCAAATTCTCCTTTTCCTGCTTTTACTTGACCTTCACCATTATTGACCAAATACATATTGGCTTCAGTAGAAACAGAATCAATCAAACCAGGATCAATCAACTGTAAGCCCTGCTCAATGCTAGAATCAATAAAAATCAATCTGATCAAAGTCTCCTTTCCATCAATATCCAATTCATTTTTCAATTGTAGTCTAAGTAACTCGTCAATTGACCCCTTCAATTCCTTACGTATTGCATATGCTCTGGCTAAGAACGTTTTAACCTCTTGTGAATTTAAATCTAATTTATGTTGAGCTTTTAAAGACAAAATCGCATTGAACTGTTCAGTTAGTGATACTGATGTTGATGTTGATGTTGATGGTGAGGATGGGTCTGATATTGCTGGTGCTGCTGTTGTTGTTGTTGATGATGATGATGATGATGAATCGGTCTTTTTCGCAGCATACAATACCCTTTCCATATTCCTCATTGTGTATAATCCAATTCTCTCCTTGAACAACTCGGGGAAACTATCTGAATTGCATTCTAAATTAATCAATGTTTTAGAGTTCTTGACGGAGTTGACTAGAGCTGTTGCTGATATTGAATCAATATGATTCCCAAGAAGGGAGAAATAACCCAAGTTTTTGCAAAATGGAAGAATCTTAGCTATTTGCAAGATGGATGACTGACTGAAATTCTCATTTTCCAAGTGCAATCTGATTAATTTAGGAAACAATGGAAACTTTGATGTGAAATACTGCACAATTGACGATTCGTTCAGCTCTTGTAAACTGTTGTACGATGTAATACCATCATTGCTTTTACCAAATGTGCCAAACAAACGTTGGTTATTCGATAAATCCATGTACTTCAAATTTGGAAGTCTTAGCAAAACAGTCTCAAAAACTTCTTTAAAAGTATCACTAAAGACAGAATTTGTCGAATTCAAGCTTAGGAAAGAAAGCGTTGCTTTGGACAATACTTTTTCAAAATCGGCACATTTCGTACTATATTCCAAGAATATCTTCAACATTTGAGTACTTGAAAAATCATTATAGCCCAAATCCAACCCACGAGCAAAGTCACTAAATAGCCATGTGTCTACTACGATTTTCAAGTGTTTTGGAGTCAAATTGTTGAAGGCTAGTCCCAAGCGTGTAGTTCTTTTCAGTACAGCTAATTTCATCAAATTTTCAAAGACTTCAACATCGGTTACACAACAACCAGTTAAAATTAATTCGTCAATACCACCTCTTGCAACTAGTGTAGCAACGAACAATGACCAATCAACATCTGATCTATTGTCCTTATTGCATGTCATGCGTTCAATATGTTCCTCGACCTTTTTAGAATCACTAGTTGCTCTTCTCTTCTTTTTCTTCAAAACGTTCACAGACAAGGCTGGACACTGGGTAATGTCCAATTTGCTCAAAACAGTGTTTCTAGATAAAAACCAACAAAGTAAAGACCAGCCTTCTTCATTTATAGGTGTGTTTCTCAAACTCAATTTCTCCAATTGTTTCTTTGCGCTCATTGCTGCTAGCAATATTTTGAATTGCTCTATTGATAAACTAACACCATCTAATGAAACGCACATAATTGGAGCTATTCGCAAAAAATCTGCAAACGTTTGGATCTCAATCATGGTTGGAGTTGGATTTCTAAGTTGCAACACAGGGAGCGGCGCTAGGGAGCCAGGGGGGATTTGTTTCAATATAGCAGGTATTGGCAAAATTTCTCGTAAATGACAGCATCGAGAATACATTGTATCGAGAGCCATAAACTTCACCGGTTGTGTATAGTTGACTTTATGTTGCTGTGCCATTGGTGTATCAATGGCGATACCTTTTGCTCGTTGACTTATTGCCGGCTCGTTTTCATCAGAATCAGAACCATTTTGATCTTTACCTTCACCTTCACCTTCATTTTTACCTTCACCTTCACTTTCACCTTCACCTTCACCCTCACCTTCACCCTCACCCTCACCCTCACCCTCACCTTCACCTTCACCTTCACCTCCTTCTGCATCATCTTTCTTGACAGGTTCAGATGCATCTTTTCTAAGGTAACCTGATGCACCTGTACCACCAACAACAATTCCACCGCCCATTCCCATCAGAGATTTTTCCATTGCGATTTTATCTTCTTTTGACAAAGGATTAATGCGGATTTCACCACTCGGCAAAACCTCGACGTTTCCCTTTCTAGGAGTTCTAGATGGAATCTGTTGTGGGGGATCAATCAAAAAAGTAGATGAATGAAACGCAACTCTTTTCAATGGTTTCAAACCTTTGAAGCTTGGATTCAAATTGATTCCTGGGATCTGTGTTGCTGCTGCTGTTGTTGTTGTTGTTGTTGCCAGCGATGTTGTTGAAAGACTAGGCAGTGCAGAAGGAGAAGCAGATTTCTGACGAGCCAAATTAGACAGGTCAGATGAAGCGGAAACACTTTTTCTTCTAAAAAATCCAGGTAGTTTTGATTCGGTTTGAAGTTGTGGATTGCTCGTTGGTGATGCTTGCTGATTATACGTTACATTGTCATACCCATTTACTAAAACACCAGGAAATTGATTATCGTCGTTTTTTCCCGAAGTGGCTGAGGATCTTCTTGACGCAATTGATGAACGCCGCAAATCTTTTTGTTGATAGAATTTGATGTATTCTTCTAACCTTGGATCTTTTGTGGTCTTTGTATATGCCGGATTTGACATAGTTCTCTTTAAATGAATTGATGGATAGGTGTCGCTACCTGGTATGCCTTGGGATGATGGTGTTGTTGCCTGATGCGGTTTATTAGCTTTAGGATCATTTGATAATGATGGGGAGTAACTTGGCTTAAATATGGGGGGATTACTAATAATATGATTATTGTGACTATTGTGACTATTGTGACTACTGTGACTAGCGTGATTATTATTACTACTGTTATTCACCGTTGGTATTGAAGAGACTAGCTCTTGGGTTTCTTTGTAAAACTTTCCCTTGAGTTTTGAAAACAAGCCGCCCTTTTGAGAGCTTTTCCGTTTTGGTTTTTGATAGCTTGAATAATCGCTATGATTTGATGGGGAGGATGCTATATTTTCTTCTAGAATAGGAGTAATTGTAGGTTTTGTTTTTGTTGAAATTGCATCATTGGAATTGGAAATGGTGGTGCTAAGATGGGTGCTAACAGAATGAGAAGGTATGTGTTCATTATTTGCCTCTTCTTGCTTATTGGTGGTATTGGTAGTGGTAGTGGTGGCGGTAGTGGTGGCGGTGGTAGAAGTAGTATCGGTCAGGCTAGACTTGCTGGCATTGTGGTAATTAAGCGTGGAGGCATGGGGGTCGATTGATGAATCTGTCATGAACCAGTCAACGTCGGTATCTCGCACACCCTTTGAATACATATTAGACTCCTCTTTCAAAACATCTCTCATTTTTTTAAGAACATCTATTTCTTCCCGTGTAATGTCGGTTTTCCCCTCTGCAGCAGCAGCAACAGCAGCAGCAGTAGCAACAGTAGCAGTACTATCGTTTGATGTTTGAGAAGCTTCCTTTACCAAACCAGTTGTCTGTCGTTGGTTACCGTCAGCTTTCATAAATAATTGATCCTCGTCTTTGGCTGACATCTTAGCTTACTGGGGTTTCTTCTATACTGTGTATCTATCTATAAGTTTATAAGGTTGGTCCCTGTAAAAGATGTCAATCAATCAAAAGAAAAGGTTTCGATGCCTTGACATTTTTATTCTACAAAATTATTAAAGAGTTACAAAATAACATGTCACACCCCCTCCCCCGCGTCATACGTCAAAACCGCCCCACGTCAACCGCCCCGCGCCCCGCGCCCCGCGCCCACGTTCGCTTTTCCCCTCGTCCCGCCTAATCCTACACTACACCCATGCCCCTCGATTCTACGTTTTGGGCCCAGAACTAAACAATGTCTTTTAATGTCGCTTTAATTTTCCCTAAACCCTTTAAAGAGAAGTAAAAGAGAGGAGGTTGTAATCAAAGAGTGATTTGATAGCTGGTGGAAGCTGTTTAACAAAGCTATCTGAAGTTATACAATAAAGTCATATGCTATATGGCCGTCTTATTGTTACACTTTCAAACTCTATACAATACATTATCTACAGCATAATATAGTATGACTAGTCACCACTTACAATGTGCCATAAAACAAGGGAGATTTTCAAAACTATTACAGTAAATTTTTTTCCGACACGCTATTTTCAAATTAGTGGTATGACTTTTAAAATAATGGTTTAATTGCTTGCTAACAAATGCATCCAGTAGCGAGCAAAGCCAGCTACAACACTTGCGAGCGAAGCCAGCTACAACACTTGCGAGCGAAGCCAGCTACAACACTTGCGAGCGAAGCCAGCTACAACACTTGCGAGCGAAGCCAGCTACAACACTTGCGAGCGAAGCCAGCTACAACACTTGTGAGCGAAGCCAGCTACAACACTTGCAAGCAAAGTGAGCTACAACACTTGCGAGCAAAGTGAGCTAGTGGAGCACTTGATAGTTTGTTATAAGGACTAATTTTATGACACTGTGTACTAGCTCGCTTCGCTCGCTAGTAGAGCACTTGGTAGTTTGTCACAACGACTAATTTTATGACACTGTGCAAACTGGCCAATACTAGTGAGCTAGTGGAGCACTTAATAGTTTGTCACAACGACTAATTTTTTATAACGAGTCTCTGTGCAAACTGGCCAATACTAGTGAGTAAAGTGTGCTACTTTTTTTCTGACGAGTCTCTGTTTAAGCTGGCTAGTTTTTGTAATTTTCAATTATAGACTCGATTCGTCAACTAAACCTGGAGCCTATTTAGATCAAATTGGCTAAAAATAAAAAAACCATCAACTTAATCAAGAAATACAAAAAAAACACATATAGTGTAACTAGTTCTAGTCTGCTCCACTCGATAATGTCTAGTTGCTAGTGCGCTAGTTCTAATCTGCTCCACCATCTCGCTTCGCTCGGTAGTGAAGCAAGTAAAAAAAACAATTTGATAGCGACAACTGCAGGACTCGAACCTGCGCGGGCAAAGCCCAAAAGATTTCTAATCTTTCTCCTTAACCACTCGGACAAGTTGCCAATTTCCTTACCTTTGAAATCACGAGTTTCATATTACTGTGTTGATAAATAATTACTATCTACTGCTCCACTATTTACTACTTTCTACTCTCTACTGCTCCACTAGCTCGCTTCGCTCCTTAGTGTCTCAATTCTACCTACATTTTCAACAATTTCTCTCAACGGTAGTATTATCTGACTCTTTCATCATTGTACATTTCCATATCACTGTGTTGATAAATACAGTATATATCATATACCATATATCATGGTTGAATGTACCAAAACTATCGAGCAGAGCGAGATAGTATTGTAATAAGCTAGTCAGTGTGCTCCACTATCGAGCAGAGCGAGATAGTATTGCAAAAGGCTAGTCAGTGTGCTCCACCATCTCGCTCTGCTCGATAGTGTTGCAAAAAGCTAGCCAGTGTGCTCCACCATCTCGCTCTGCTCGATAGTGTTGCAATAAGCTAGTCAGTGCGCTCCACCATCTCGCTCTGCTCGATAGTGTTGAAAGTCTTGAATTGACTCAATATTTATCAATCACAATCTATATATCCTATAAATCAACCAAAGCCAGAAATATCCAAATGCAACAAATGAGATCGCCGTATTCAAAATCACCCACAAGTCAGGATATCTTGCTGGCGGAGGAATCATAAAGTCAATTGCATGATAAGCCATCATGCCAAGATAAGTGCACCATATCACTATACTGTTCAAATGCCGCCACCCTTTTGGTATAATCAATTTAAACCCAATTAACCAATTGATTAGAAACTGGGTGACAAAATATTGCAATACTAGACCATCTTTGTACAACAACGGATACATGCTAAATGTACCTATATTATTAATCCACTGAATCATGGTTATATCCCCGGGGTCAATAAATAAAAGCAATAAGATGGGACAAAGTGCCACAAGAATGGATTTTTCGTGGACCTGATATGAAAACAAGTAGAATGATAATGCGTTATATGCAAATCCATAAATTATTGCTGGTGCTTTTAGTTTGTGAATATTTGATTTTGATTTCGATGATGCTGCTTTTTTCACTTTGAGGAATATGTAGATATTTATTGGTAAAATAACCGATAATGTTGTTATCAGGGTCAATCTGGCCAATTGCGAAGAATCGTTGAATAATTCACGATACTTGATGAAAATGTTTGTAGTGCACCAGAAATTAGCAACCTTATCCTCAAACAAACCACGATTGAACGGGAATACTCTAATGAGTATCTGCTGTAAGGTCTTTATTGGATGATTGCTGAGTAAAAAAGGTAGTAAATAGATCAACTGCGTCACAACAACAGTTGCGCCAACGGCAATCAAATCTTGAAAGTGGTTCAATTGACTAAGTATATAGAAGAAAATGAAAATTGAATAGTATAGTCCCATTTGTTTGAAATTGATACAGCTCACAAACCAAATGCTTGCCAATACCAAGTTATTGTGAATCAAATCAATCACGGAATATAGAAAAAGCCCCAACATCACTGAATTATATTGAAAATGTCCATGATCAATCAATGTCAATCCTGGTTGGCTGACAATGATCAACGCAATAATGATCTGATCCATTCTCGATAGATTATATCTCTTGCCCCCCAAGATATGCGCAAGCAATAAAACAGCTGGTATGTAAATCATCAATTCACTGATGATGCTGGTCAATCTCAAAAAAAAGATCAACCCTTGACTTTCCATGCCTCTTGAGCTGTTTAAATGAAACCAAGCCAGGTTGATGAAATTGCCAATCTTGCCCAAGAACCAACTATGGTAAGCAGTCAATGGAGGATAATCCAACCCCCAATATGCCAAATCAAAAAAATACCATTGACTAATTGGCAAATAATTTGTTATTTCCATCCAATGTCTTTGGGCCTCGAAATCTCCATACATTGGAGGTGTGCCCTTACCTGAGTGCCCGCCTAGCCCAACTGCTGTTTGTAAGAGCACCGAACTGAGAATAAGGATATACCTTGCAGCCCATTGGTCGGGAGCTTTTTCAAAATAGTGAAGCAAATTATACACGGGTGAATCTGCAAAAATGCTTCTCTTGCATTTCCCAGGATGATGGTGATGGTGATGGTGATGGTTATGGTGATAATGCTCCTGCTCCTGCTCCTGCTCCTGCTCCTGTGTCAGTACCGCCTCTTGTTTTGTCACCAGTTTCTTCCCTCGTTTGTTTAAATTCTTTCTTTTTGGTTTATCAACCAGTCCCAGACTAGTAGACTTGGCCATTGACCCCATTGATAGAGGAAAAAAAGAAACGTGCCAATATGAAAATGTCCCTTTCAAGGTATTGCCAATAAGAAAATGTCCCTTTCAAGGTATTGCCAATAAGAAAATGTCCCTTTCAAGGTATCACCAATTTTTCAAATTTTTCACTTTTCAATTTTTCAATATTGCGCAATAAACAAATTAAGCTTTTAGAAGAAGAAGCTTAATTTGTTCACGCAATTGGGAAAGAGAAGGCCCAAAGTTGGCAACGGGACCTCTCTCTCTCTCTCTGTGTGTGTGTGTGTGTGTGTGTGTGTGTGTGTGTCTGTTTGTTAGTTTTGTCACTTTGAACTGTAGATATGTATTAATGTAATCAACCCCGTCTCTATTCCCAAAGGCATAGTAGCCTTACATTTGGGATCCCAGACGCGTCTTATTAAATGAATGACAAAATGTAGTACCCGACAATGGGGTGCTTTGATGAACTTACTACGATGGTGTGACTTCAAGTTTGTGGTGAAAGGAAACCACTTGAATCTTGCAGAGCCACTATTGAGCAGAGCCACTATCGAGCAGAGCCACTATCGAGCAGAGCGAGATAGTGGAGCACACTAGCTGCCACCGACAATCGACACTATCGAGCACAGCGAGATAGTGGAGCACACTAGTAGCCACCGACACCAACTGCCACCGACACTATCTCGCTCTGCTCGATAGTGGAGCACACTAGTAGCTACCGACAATCGACACTATCTCGCTCTGCTCGATAGCGTCGTATCTGATGGTGGTGGAATACTGTTTTGTCAATCAGCCAAACAATCGTATTGTCGTATATTGATGAGAGGTTAGTGTGGAATGAATTCTACTTCTAGTCAGCTATTTTACCATATTGATGGGAGGTTAGTGTGGAATGAATTTGACTACATAGGCAATAAAATTCTACTCCTTGTCAGCCATACTACCTTGTCAATGGCACAATATCTACTGCTATTCAGCCGTACTACACATTGACCTACCGGGTCAGTACAAGAGTAATCTAGCTTTTGCCAATATTTATCTTCTCCAACCAGAGATGGTACATACTTGTCACCGACACTAGCAGCACTATCGAGCAAAGCAAGATAGTGGAGCAGCATTGACTTTGGCCGACACTAGTAACATTATCTCTCTTCACTCGATAGTGGAGCAGCATTAACTTTGGCCGACACTATCAACTCTAGCAGCACTGACTGTCACCATCGAGCAACACCACCGACGCTATCGAGCAGAGCAAGATAGTGTCGATTGGAAATCGAAAAACGTGTACTTTTTCTTTTGTTTTTACCTCTTTTTTAAAATTGACCGTTGTAAATATTTTTTTTAGTAAAAAGTTCCCAAAACGGTAGTAGTGCCAATTTGGGAACAAAATCTCTTGAAAATTTTAGATTGTTATCATTGACAATTTTATCAGTTTTTTACTCTTTTTTGGTATTTTTTTTCCCGACACTATCGACACTATCGAGCGAAGCGAGATAGTGGAGCAGCACTTAAAAGCAACACTTTGTAGCGATACTAATAGCAATACTAGTACATTATCTCGCTTTGCTCGATAGTGGAGCAACACTCAGTAGCTTGCTACAACACTATCGGGCAGAGCGAGATAGTGGATCAACACTGACTAATGACCCTATCTCGCTCTGCTCGATAGTGTCGATTGGAAATCGAAAAACGCGTACTTTTTCCTCTGTTTTTACTTTTTTAGAAAAAAGTTCCCAAAATAGTAATAGTGCCGTTTTGGGAACTAAACTGCTTAAAAATTTTAGATTGTTTATCATTGACAATTTTATCAGTTTTTTGCTCTTTTTGGTATTTTTTTCCAGCCACCATCAACACTATCGAGCGAAGCGAGATAGTGGAGCAGCACTTGAGAGCAACACTTTGTAGCGATACTAGTAGCAATACTAGTACATTATCTCGCTTTGCTATCTCGCTCTGCTCGATAGTGTTCATCAGTAGCTTGTTACAACACTATCTCGCTCTGCTCGATAGTGTTTCTCGATAGTGTTTCTCGATAGTATCGTTTTTTTATCTCAATTAGCCTTTTTCATGTGATAGACAAAGTAGTAAAAGGAAAACATACTAAATGCTAGAGACTAGAGACTAGAGCAATAGACTATACATTATTACCTAAATAGAAAAGTATTTAAACATGTTGTTGTAAAATTTGCATCAACTTGATTAGAAATCAATTTTTTCAATTATTATCCATTATTTTCTCGGCTTGAGCTCATTAATATTGTTTGTACTATTGACATCGACACTATCGAGCGAAGCGAGATAGTGGAGCAGCACTTAAGAGCAACACTTTGTAACGATACGACACTATCTCGCTTCGCTCGATAGTGGAGCAGCAATTAAAAGCAACACTTTGTAGCGATACTAGTAGCAATACTAGTACATTATCTCGCTTTGCTCGATAGTGGAACAATACTCAGTAGCTTGTTACAACACTATCTCGCTCTGCTCCATAGTGTTCATCAGTAGCTTGTTACAACACTATCTCGCTCTGCTCCATAGTGTTCATCAGTAGCTTGTTACAACACTATCTCGCTCTGCTCCATAGTGTTCATCAGTAGCTTGTTACAACACTATCTCGCTCTGCTCCATAGTGTTCATCAGTAGCTTGTTACAACACTATCTCGCTCTGCTCCATAGTGTTCATCAGTAGCTTGTTACAACACTATCTCGCTCTGCTCCATAGTGTTTCTCGATAGTGTCGCTCGATAGTGTTGCTCGATAGTGTTTGTCGCGTGGCTCGTCTATTACATAATATTTTCTTTCTCACATTCGATCGATTAAAGCTACAAAGAAAAAATAACTGATACGCGCGGGGAGGTGACAAATTTTTTTACAACACTTTTTTACAACACTTTTTACAACACAATTTTCTTAGAGCAGGTTATTGAGATTGAGCTTGCTTTTGAGGTATTTAATTGGTTGATATTTTATTAGAGAACCGTCCTTTCATTAAGAGAAGAAAAAAAAATCTCATTCTTTTGCTGCTGCCCTTTTTTGTTAGTGTCGCCTTTCTTTATTGGTGCTGCCTTTTTCAATTGGTGCTGCCTTTCTTTATTGGTGCTGCCCTCTTTTGTTAGTGTCGCCTTTCTTTATTGGTGCTGCCTTTCTTTATTGGTGCTGCCCTTTTTTGTTAGTGTCGCCTTTCTTTATTGGTGCTCCCCTTCTTTATTGGTGTTGCCCTTCTTTTAACTACTAATGCTACAAAAGCCTAGGCCGAATATAGGGCATGAGAGTACTTCTTCGAGTATATACTCGCCAATAGAATTGGAACACAACCATCAGCTGCTGTTGCTGCTGTTGCTGCTGCAGCTGCAGCTACCCACCGCCAATGCAACTCCTCCGCTGGCAGAGACACAAACGAGGCCAAGAGCCGATCCATCAGACTACCTTCCATCCCTGAATGTGAGCATTCAAAAAAATTTCAACGACAGTGATGACAATGACCATGACCAGGAATTAATAGACAATGACGAAACACCCTTGTTGAACTCATCATCAACAAGACAGGAGGATATGACCCCCTTGGTTGATGATAATGGATACATTATAGAAGAAGAAGAAAACAACAACAACAACAACAACAACAACAACGACAACAACGACAACAACGACAACGACAACAATGGCGGACTAGCAAGACTACTTTCTCAACGCAAGTTAAGCAAGAAATTTAAAAGATTATCAACGAAATTACTACAACAAAATGCCAATGCATCTCAAAATTCACACCAGTTTATAACCAATTTCCAACAAAATATAGAAAGAGTCAATAATAATCAAGATTTTGCACTGGCTAGAACAAGTGCCTACTATAGAAAGATCAATGAGAAACAAAACAAACATTTTGAGCAGCAGCAGCAGCAGCAGCAACAACAACAACCTCCTCTGCTTCTGCTGTCTTATCAATCACAATCGACTGCGTATCATGAAGATGTTACACATACAATGCTACATAATGATCAACACTCAGAACTTAGCTTTATTTGTAGTAGTAAATCATCAAGTATCCATAGTAGGAATCCAAGTATACATAGCGACAATTATCACCATCTGGATCACCATCCGGATCACAATCACGATCACGATCACCACCAAATTATAATAACAAATTCCTCATCATTATCAAGCCTTGCAATGGATAATAGTACAACTAATAATAACCACCTTGCTAGTTATAATATGCACGGAACCCAATTAACAAATGAAGTACCAATACGAAGAGATTTAATTGACACTCCAGTTAAAGAAAAGTTTAAGATTTACAATAGTGCATCGGAAAATATATCAGAACAAGGAGGGTTGAATATAATATATAACCAAGAAAGAGAAACTGCACCTATTAGAGGAGAGCAAAGTGAAAAAAGAATCAAGTCGTCCAACTCGTTACGGGTGGAGGAAGAAGAAGAAAAAGGAGGAGGAGGAAGAGGAGGCGAAGAAGAAGAAGAAGTAGGAGTAGAAGAAGAAGAAGCAGAAGAAGAAGAAGAAGAAGAAGAAGATTTGTCATCCTTATTCATTCGCGCATTACATTCGTTTGACTCAAATACCTTACAATCCGAATCAGATACTTCAATTTGTCTATCATTTGAGAAAAATGATCTTGCGTTTGTCCATACCATAGACGAATCCGGATGGGGTGAAGTAACTTTAGTAGAGTCGCTACGAAGAGGTTGGATACCAATGAATTATTTTGCAATTGCAGTTGCGGATGACGATGAAGAAGAAGAAGAAGAAGAAGAAGAAGAAGAAGAAGCAACCTATACGAGTAATATTCCCAATAGTCGTTATCTCCGACTGTTATTTCATGCAAGTGGCAAATTCTTACTCGACCCATTAAGCCACAAAAACAGGAAGGGGAAGTACACATTTTCCTTGCGTGTGATTAATTCTATTAGAGATGGTGTTAGACTCCTTCTACAACAAACAGACTGTTTATCGAGATCAAATGAAATTGTAACAAAACGACAAATTGTACGAAAAGCAAGAAAATCATTATTAGCCGATTGGTATAATCTAATGGTCAAGGCAAACGAATTTAAGGGTACTTCCAATTTCAGCAAGATTGAGATATTAACATTGATGGTTTATCAAGTTGCAAAAAAAGCGCTTATGTTTCTCGAAGTATGGTCGGTTGAAAGTAAGCAGATTGTAAAACGCGAGAATGAACGTAAATTACAAGATGATTTGAACAATTATCCGCTATTGGAAACACCGCCATTAGCCAAATCGAGAATTACTGAGATTAGTGCTATATTGTATTCGTATTTGGGGATGATTATTGGTAGATTGGACTTGATAGAACATAATCAAATTGGATGTGAGATTTTGGAAACATTAGCTCATCAGATTATATTATTGCTTCGAGAATTATTATTTATATCGAAAACAGGCTCAGATTTCAGTTTGGAAAAACCACAAGAGTTGGATAGTTCGTTAGATGGCTTGTTATCCTTGGTGAGCGATTTAGTTACAAGTGTCAAAAGCTTGGTGGTTAAAACTTTAAATGAAAATGAAGAGGATCTTCAGCACCAGCACCAGCACCAGAACCAGAACCAGCACCAGAAGGTAGATTATTTTTATACAGAAGAAGGTGGGTCTTTACTACAAATTTCAGCCAAAATGATCAAAGCAATAAGCGTCACAATTGCATCGGTTCGTAAATTGCTTTACTTAACTGGTGACTTTAAATTGAACTCGCAAAGAGCATACCCTGATTTTGTGAAAATGAGAATTGAACCGCATGATTTCGTAAAGAAATGCATGAAGGGGATAAGAGGTAATATACATGCATCTTCCTCTTCTTCTTTTTCATTTGCTAATGCTAGTGATGGAGTACCAGGTGCAGGTGCAGGTGCAGGTGCAGGGGCAGGTGCAGGGGCAGGGACAAGGGCAGGAGGAGAAAACAATAAACCCTATATGGCCAATAGATATTCAATGATCAGAACCGGCAAAACTGGTGACTTGGGATTTACTGAAGGTGGGCTTGATTTCCTACAACATTTTGAAGAATCTCCATTCACAGTGGCTGCTGCGGAATTTGAACCATTTACAACGGAAACTGAAAATGGAAGTGTATCTGTATTGCATCCGGAAAAGGAACTAGTTATTGATGCCAATGGTCGCCTTATTGGAGGTTCTTTTAAAGCTTTAGTTTACACGTTGACTGATGAAGATTCACCACCTGAATATTTTTATATATCTACTTTTTTTATTTGCTTTAGAAGTTTTGCTAGTGGGATTGACTTGATTGAGGAACTAATTACTAGATTTGATATTTCCAAGAATGAAAATAATATCAACGATATCAATTTCGAAATAAAATTAAAGAAAAGAAGAAGACTAATTGTCAAGATGTTTCAATTATGGATGGAAAGTTATTGGAATCACGAAACGGATTATCGATTATTGACCACCTTGATTAATTTTTTCAATGAGGAGATGAGCAATGTGTTACCATTGGAAGCTATGAAATTGATTGAAATTGGTGCCAAGCTTTCATCGAGGCCCTTGGTTGAGAATAGAAACAATCGAAGAAATTACCAAACAAAACAATTATTGGAGCGAAGTATAATTGTGAGGAGAGAGCTGGATTCTGATGAGATAACCTCCTTGAGTAGTAGTGGCAGTGCTGGTGGAGCCGCCTTTGCTATCTCGAGATCAGACTCGAATATATCGAGTAGTGATGAATCACTTGATTTGCCTCTTGGAACGGGATCCAACTCCAATTCATTGCTCAACAAATCACAATTGGATACAGTTGAGAAAATCGTAATGACTTACAGGACCATATTAGGCGATTGTTGGTGTTCAGTCAAATATCTTGACATTTACAGACCTTTGGATATAAATAATATGTTGTCCAATTTTGCGATAATAAGAGATCAAAGTTGGGTATTATCAAACTATCGACCAAATTTACTAGATTTCAATGGTTTAGAGGTTGCTAAACAATTAACTTTGATTGAATCTAGAATATTTTGTGCAATACAACCTGAAGAGTTGTTAAATCAAAACTTTACTGTTAAAAGAGCTCACTTGAAATTATCTCCCAATATTCAATTATCCTTGTTATTCACAAATTGTTTATCCAATTATGTGTTGGAGTCTATTCTTCAACCCAATTTAACCATCAAAGAAAGAGTCAATATTCTCAAAATATGGCTCAAGATTGCTATTTCATCGCTATATTTGCGCAATTTTAACAGTTTAGCTGCAATTATCACGGCATTACAAAGTCATTTAATTTCCCGTGTTGAGTTCATCTGGGTCAATCTACTGCAAAAATATATCGAATTGTATCAATACTTGTCGTCGATCATCAGTATGGAGAAAAATTATACTACTTATAGATCCAAAATACGTAACTTGTTATCATCTAAGAGGGAGAATAATAGTATGATTCCAATTGTACCATATATAAATTTGTTTATTTCGGATATTACAACAACTACAGAGGGCATACCCAAGTATATCCCAAGCTCAACGAATTTCCTTGGTAGGAAAGTTATTAATTTTCAAAAATATTCCAAGATTGTAAAGATTATTGCAGATTTACAACAGTTGCAAATTCCTTATGATGATGAGTATGAGGAGCAAAAAATGGCCGAGTTGGAGTACACCGTGAAGAATGTTCCAGCATTGCAGGAATTGATTCTTCTCGAACTTTGGAAGATAAACATTTTGCACAAGGAAGATGAAGATCGCGGTTGGAAGTTGAGCTGTGCAATTGTAAATAGTCGATGAAGTGTACCAATAGCACCAAGTGGTTGAAATCACATTGTTCTCTGTCCCTCTCTCTCTCTCTGTCTCTCTTGCTTATTAGTTTCCTTTTAAACATGTCATTGTTTCTTTTCTCTTTCATACTGCCAACTCTTCAAATTTCTTTCTAATTACTTTCAAAAATTTAGCCAAATCACCATCATCATTCAATACCTTTTGAGCCATCTCGAGAAAGTCACTGGGCAACTCAGGATCACTTCTCTCTACTGTGATCTTAGTCCATCCTTTCACATTTTCACCCAGCTCTTGCTCCTCACCCGGATCATGCTCAGGCTCGAGGTCCACCTTTTCCACCTTTTCCACCTTCTCCTCTTTCTCCTCTTTCTCCACCTTCTCCTCTTTCTCCTCTTTCTCCACCTTCTCCTCTTTCTCCTCTTTCTCCACCTTCTCCTCTTTCTCCTCTTTCTCCACCTTCTCCTCTTTCTCCTCTTTCTCCACCTTCTCCTCTTTCTCCTCTTTCTCCACCTTCTCTTCTACCTTTTCCTCGTCTTCCCCGGATATATTCAAATCAATAGTAAATTCCCGATCCAAATCATCCAGATCAATATAAGTAAAACCAAAACTAATCAAATTGATACCAATTGCATTAATAATCAATCCTGAATAGATTTCATATTTGGCCAATTCAATCAGATTGATCTTCATTTGCTTCTTCAACGACTCATTGGACAAATTCAATTCCTGCTTGCTTTGCCCTATAAGCTCATTCACGTGTCGTATACTGTCGTCCAATTGCTCTTTAGTTTTAAGCAAAGTGGCCTTGTCTATTATAAGATTTTCAATTCTTGATTTCAACAGTTCCAAACTCTTCATCTCTCGTTCTAAACGTTGCCTCATAGCCTGCTCTTTCAAATCTAACAACTTTAGCTGGTTCTCCAAATCCTGGTCTACCTTGCGCAAACTGGAAATCTGTTGTAAATGGTCCTGTTCTTGTTGGTTTATAATTTGTTGTTTTGTTGATAATTTATGATCCATTTCACTTAAAAACTCGTTCATTTCGAGTTTAAGCGTCTCAAACGAGAGAACTTGTTCCTGAAACCGGTCATATGTCTTGTTGAATGACCCCATCTCTTTTCCTATCTCCCTAAACTACTGATCTTTCTTTTCTTTAAACTACCATCGATATTCGGCTCTTGTTTGAAAATCTCGGAATAATTTTTGTTTACAATTTTTCTTCCTGGCCGATGATCACAAAAAGGGTTCAACTTTTTTGCGCAATTGTGCGGTTATGGATATATCACTTTCTTGTGGACCCACGTTCCAGGGTGATAGTCAGTAGCACGTAGCACGTAGCAAGAGCAAAGAGCAAAGAGTAAGAGACCGGTACTATAATGACTGCTCTATTATCTGAAAAAAACTATGATACTAAACAAAGCATCAAACTACTCACGTTTAATACATGGGGGTTGAAACTACTTTCAAAGCATCGCAAAGCAAGATTACAAGCAATAGCTCACGAGTTGGCAAATCCAAAGACGTCAGATGATGACTACGATGTTGCGGCGTTACAGGAGATTTGGTGTGAAGAGGACTGGGCATATATAGAACACGTTTGCCGCAAAAAGTACCCCTATCGCCGAGTGTTCAAATCGGGTATAATTACAGGTCCTGGTTTAGCAGTTCTTTCAAAAATACCCATTGTTGAGACTTTTCTTTATCGTTTCCCCATAAACGGGAGATCGTCGGCATTTTTCCGAGGTGACTGGTACGTGGGTAAAAGCATTGCAGTGACTATGTTCCAATCTCACGTACCAGGAAGCCTCCCTATAGCATTATTAAACAGTCATATGCATGCGCCTTATGGCCAAGGTGATGCTAGTTACTCAACACATCGAGCTTGCCAAGCTTGGGATTTTGCAAAATTAGTGCGAATGTTGAAAAAAGCTGGTTATGCTGTGATTCAAGTTGGCGATTTGAATTCCAAACCTGAATCATTGCCCTATAAGATTTTCACCGTGGAAGCAGGATTAACCGATTCTTGGAATGTGTTGCATCATGAGAAATTAATCACTAAAAGTGAAGAAATTGCAAAGTTGAGCTCAGAAGACCAAATCAAACTTGCAGGCGTTACTTGTAACTCAAGGTTAAATACTTGGAGAAAATCGAGTAAAGCAGGCGACGCGTGTAGGATAGATTATGCACTTATTGATGCCGAGAATATCATTCCTATTAAAGCACAGGTCAAATTCACTGAAGTATTGCCAAGTCCTTTACTTTGCTCGTATTCTGACCATTTTGCTTATAGTGTTGAGTTGAAGATAAACTCTCAAGCACAACATGTAACGCCAGAAGATATGCATAACTTGAAAGAAAGAGAAGGTGTATACAAGGCCTTGATCGCAGAGATCAAGCACTATAGAAGAGTGACTATACCATTTCAGGCTATATGGAGAAAAGTATATTTTTTCATATCGGTGATCATAGTCATTGGAATGCATGTTGGGATCGTGTTTGTTGCAGATGTTGCAGGATGGATCTCGGTGATTTTTTTACTCATAACTACTATCCTCATTGTTTCTGGTTTATTGAATGGAATGATTTGGTATTTTGGAGTGAGGTCAGAACTGAGAGCATTGCAAGAAGTTCAAATGGAAGTTGAAGATGCTTATACATATATCCAAGATTTAACAATGGAGAAAACCCGAAGATCATCACAATCCCATCGTAAAGAGTCTCTGGATATCCATGTTCAAGAGCTTCAATGATAAATAATATATAAAATTTATAGAGTAGAAGTATTTTTTATTTTTTTTTTTTTTTTCATTTTAGAAATTCAATCAATTTTCCCTTTCTGTGCATCTCTACTGAATTTTGGCTTTGCAATATCCCATGGACCTTGTAGTTCATTCTTGAAACGCTGTAGTGATAGGAAATACGCCGGCATCAATACCATTATGACTAGAACTGACACTAACCAATAAATCAAAAACTTGTAGTTTAGCAATTTCCAAATCCATATATTGACTAGGCAAAACATAACAAACATTAAAATGTAATGGAAAATCTTTAGCCTCTTGACGCTTCGTAGACTTGTATCAAGCAAGGGTAAAAGGATATTTACTTGTATAGCAAACAATATGAATAAAAAGACCTCCATTGTTGACTCTAGTCGAGAAGCCAACACAATGGCATTGCTTAATGAGATGTTGGTTGATAAAATAGGTTTATAAACTTGCGCAACTGAGTATTCGTAAAACATCGTATTGCCGATACATAGCATAAGGGAGATTGCCCAAATAGAGTCGGATGAGGTTGATCTTGTCAATGACTTGAGTATTGGAGAAGCAATTAAAAGCAAAAAGGATATGATCACAAATGACTTAACATTCAAACTGCTGCGGGAATGTGGAATAGTCAAGCCAGAATACTTCAAGGACACAAAGCTTGATATTAGAAGCATTGTACTGCTAACTGTTGGTGCAACCGGGTCCCAATTTTCAATGTATATGCCAATAAACATGAGATTGACTATCAAGATGCAAGATACATAAAACACAATCAACAGGAAATCGTCAACTACCTTGAGGTATGAGTATTTTGCAACAGTCGTGTTTCTCTTTAACTGTGATAGAAACGAGCTATCTGTATAGTTATCTGGGTACGGTTGCTTAAGATATAATAATTTCTTCCATGGTGGGTTACCAGAGCCATTTTCGTACTCAAAATGATTGATAGAACCTTTCCGCAGAAACAGCAGCAGCAGCAGCAGAAGCGGCACTCCGGAAGAAGACATATTGCATGATTTGTCCTTCTGTCGTCGGAGGTCGTGGTAGTCTCGAGGCCTCAATGCAGCATCTGTCATTATATCATCTCTTCTCTTCCTTGGTTGGTGATAAAAAAGAAAAAAAAATAAATTAAAAAACAAATTGATATTTAAGAATTAAAGATATACAAAGAAGGTGACTGTATCTTTATCAAATGGCCAATAGTTTGAATCCTACAAAGTCCAATAGCTCGAATCGGTTGACTGTTCCACCTCGACATTCATATAGTACATCTGTGTCATCGTCATCTAATGTACTGCCTTCTCAATTTATTCACACGACAAATGGGTTGAGGAACAAGCAGGGGTCAAGCTCGATGAGACTATCACGAACCAATACAGAAACAACCGATGCTTACGTTGCGAACCAGGACAACCAAAGTATACAAACCATCGATAAAATACCCAGTGCCAAGCCAAGTGTAACGTACCAGGATCGGCTATGGACCCAGATTGATGTTTTAGACGACGTTAAGAAAATGGCTCAAGAAGTACGTTCAAGAGGATCCTTCTTTGACGACAAGTTTAGAAAAGAAATGAGCAAGTTGAAACAGCTGCAGGAGAAACTAATACAGACCATGTCGCAACAAGGATTCGACGATATGAATATCAGCGAAGTTCAAAATCAACAATTGTACCAGTTGAATACGAATTCCTTACAAACACCAACAACGGCAATGACGAGAACTACCACAAATATAATTACTGAAGATGATAACAGCCACAATAATACTGGCGCAGAAGGAGAAGAAGAAGATAAGGCCAAGTTGGTGGAAATGGCAAAGAAACAAATGGACCAAGAAAAGATTACTAAATTTTTTGCTAATGATGAGTTCAAATTTGAAAACCTCAAGGTGTATGACAAAACGACATTTGATGAGATTAACGGCTATGTGCAACAAGTGAAACAAGACTTGATGGAACTCGGTAAGGCAATCAAGGAGTTTGACGACTCTACAAAGAATATCTGGTGAAGCTTTTTGCCTCATAGTAATCCAACTATATTAATTGTCTAGAAGTTTATGGTGAATCACGCTTTGGTAAAATTTACGGGATTTCTCGATACCAAAACACACCACAAATATCGAAAGGTGCTAAGATTTTTGCTACACAAATTTACTGCCTGAGGTTACTGCCTGGGGTTACTGCCATAGGGTTGCAGTTTTTCTGGTATGGGGTCACAGTCTTTCTGGTATGGGGTTACAGTTTACAGTTTATTTGTGGAGTTTCGGAACGAGGTTTTCCTCCCAATGCACAAACTAAATCAGTAAAAATAATGCAAAATTTACGTTGATCTTATCCTTTGTTCGGCCCTTCCTTGCCCCTCCCCCCCAATTTGACTCCGCTCATCGTATTAATTTTTTCTTGGTAGAATGGCAGTTACCTTTAATTAATCCGAGCTTGGTAGCGCACTACCAAAACAGGAAGAAAAAAAAATTTATTTTTTATTTTTTTTTGTTTAATCGTTTATATTTTATTTTTTTTGTTCGAGTTTTGCACGACCTGTCTATTTTCATTTTTGCATTTTGTTCCGGACTTCAGTCAATCTTTACGTAAATCATGATCATTGAATGAAAACCGGAAAAATTCTTGACCAATTTTTTGTTTAAAAAGAAGGTGGAAACTCCTTTTTCTTTGGTTTCAGTGATTGAGTTTGGATTCTTCAATTCAAATTCATTTTGTATTTGGTCTCTTGTTTAAGGTTTTACTCTTTCTTTCTTTCTATTTTTTTTTTTGGGAGGGGAGTAAATTTTTTCATTGTGGTTTTATTATTTTAAGATTATTTTTTTGCAGTTTTTTTTTTTTTGCAGTTTGATTAGATTGCTTTGAAAAACGATGGTTCATCTTGGTCCTAAACCTCCACAGCATAGGAAAGGGACATTTACTGATGTTTCTCCTGCATTGATGTCGACGTTGAAGGAGTTGGAGTCTCAGTTCACTGTTTCTGGCGAAACTTTGAGGAAAATTGTTGATCACTTTATTACCGAATTAGATAAAGGATTATCCAAAAAAGGTGGTAATATTCCAATGATTCCAGGTTGGGTTATGGATTTCCCAACCGGTAAGGAGACTGGTGATTATTTAGCCATTGATTTGGGTGGAACTAATTTAAGAGTTGTTTTAGTCAGATTGGGAGGCAATAGAGATTTTGATACTACTCAGTCGAAATTCGCATTGCCCTCCCATATGAGAACTGCAACAAGTGAAGAGTTGTGGTCATTTATTGCCGATTGCTTGAAAAAGTTCTATGATGAGGAGTTCCCTGATGGAGTTAAAGAACCATTACCCTTGGGCTTTACATTTAGTTATCCTGCTAGTCAAGATCGTATTTCACAAGCTGTTTTGCAAAGATGGACAAAAGGTTGGTCAATTGACGGTGTTGAAGGCAAAGACGTTGTTCCCATGTTACAAAGTGCTATTGAGAAAGTCGGCGTGCCTATAGAGCTTGTAGCTGTTATTAACGATACAACAGGAACATTGGTTGCATCAAGCTATTGTGACCCTGAGGCCAAATTGGGGTTGATTTTTGGAACGGGTGTCAATGGTGCATATTTCGATGTTGTTGGCGATATTCCCAAATTAGAAGGCAAAACTGCAGAAGATGTTACGCCAGATACTCCAATGGCCATCAATTGTGAATATGGTTCATTTGATAATGAAAAGGTGATTTTACCAAGAAACAAGTACGATATCATAATTGATGAAGAGTCTCCAAGACCAGGTCAGCAGACGTTTGAAAAAATGAATTCTGGCTATTATTTGGGTGAACTCTTGAGATTGATACTTGTTGAGTTGGCCGAGAATAAGAAGTTGATATTTCAAAATCAAGATTTGACCAAATTGAAGCAGCCATTTGTTCTTGACACTTCGTTCCCAGCAAGAATTGAAGAAGATCCATTTGAAAATTTGTCTGATGTGCAAGAATTGTTTTACGATTATTTGAAAATTGAAACCACTGTACCTGAACGTAAAGTAATCCGCCGTATTTCAGAGATGATTGGTGAGAGATCGGCAAGGTTGTCTGTTTGTGGTATTGCAGCAATCTGTAAAAAGAGAGGATACAAAACTGCTCATTGTGCAGCTGACGGTTCTGTTTACCAAAAGTATCCTGGTTTCAAAGCTAGAGCGGCAAAGAGTTTGAGAGATATTTTTGAATGGCCAGCCGATTTAGAAGATCCGATAATTATTGTACCAGCAGAAGATGGAAGTGGAGTCGGTGCAGCTATTATCGCTGCTTTGACAAAGAAAAGATTGAAGGAAGGAAAATCAGTTGGTATAAAAGCATAAACCAGTGACACTAGCGAGCAACACTCCTTTTCGTGTACATATATACATTTACATATTACATATACAGATACAGATACATATATACATGTATTTATAGAGATATAATAACGACACTCATGTTTTGATCATTACTGGTCCTTTTCTACTTGGTAAAAGGAGCCAAATCGAATTGGTGGGATTATGCATCTGATGGATGATGCCCTTGTATCTCTCTTTATTGAATAGCATTGCATTCTATAATTTATGTGAGCACGTAAATGACTATTTCTTTTTTTGTCATCTCAAAGAAAAATCATACAAAGACTTTGCTTCTTTTCAAATAGCAAGCAAACCTCAAACCCGTGTGTCCTCTCTGCTCCTCCAGCTACACATTTTGACGCATACCTTGATCTACAATGTCTGGTGCCTATGCAGATTACCGGAATCTAAACCAAAGGCACGATTTTGAGCAAAATTTAGAAACCCAATTTCCGGCGAGTTCAGTAACAAGGTCTATGCAAGAAAAAGTAACATTTGGTCAGAACAACGTCCACACTGAGACTCTAAGGGAAATAGTAATTGATGCAATAACCCAGGAAAACGATTTGGCAGTTTTGGAGTCCCAAATATCACCAGACGAAGTGATAACAAACTCAGATATCACTAATACGGATGAACTAATTGATGAAAGTAGAATTTTGGATAAAGAAGAGGAAGAAAAAGAAGAGAAGTTTTATAGGAAAAGGAGTGGTGGCTTATATACGCTGTTCAGTATATGGGATATAATTAAGAAGAGCGCGATCAATTTAGTGTTGCCGTTTATCAATGGTATGATGTTGGGCTTTGGCGAGATTTTGGCCCATGAGATTGGGTTCCATTATAGGTGGCATGGTGCAAGGGTAGAGCCACCTAGAAGATTACAGCAAAGAAAACTAGAAAAAGAAGAAAAAGTCGCCGCTACAGGTGCTGCTGCAATTGCTGGTCTGAGGTTTCTATAATGTGCAATGTAGCGAGAGTTTTATTTTTTGAATATGTATAATAAAGGTGATATCTTTACTATCTTGGATAAATGCTAAAGACGTGTCATGTGATGGTTATTTAGAAGCCTGAATATACAACTGAGGGAACATTATTATCTATAAGTCAATGGGGAAAAAAAGGGATGCACCGTTGATGCATTGGTATGTTAATTTGAAGGACGACTCTTGTTTCTTCTCTTTTCTAGTCATTTTAAGAGTAAGAAAATAAGACGAGAGAAGACGAAATGAAATGAAGAAAGAAAGGATGAGAGTACAAGGACTTGATTAATGAGATTTGGGGTACTTTTTTGATTCTTTATTCTTCTACTGATCACATTGGTACATTGGAAATTGGGTAGTATTTTTTATTAGATAGATTTTGTATAGGGGAGTAATAAGATAGCAAATTAGCTAGTACCGTTGAATAAAAAAGAGTATTGAGATAATTCATTATCGTAAACTTTGTGGTAATCCGATTTCAAATCATCATGAGATGGAGAATCTAAATCTATTATAGTGGAGCAACACCGACTACACTGACTGCCACCGACACTACTATGGAGCAACACTCAGTAGCTTGTTACAATACTATCTCGCTCTGGTCGATATGTCGATAGTGTCGGTGTAGTCAGTGCTGCTCCACTATCTCGCTTCGCTCGATCGATAGTGTCATATCTATCTGGGGCCATTCTCTACAGAATTCTATATGTATGTAACTAGGGTAGAGTTTGTATTCTTACAAGGAAGGAACTTTAATAATTCCGGGGGTAGAGCTTTTATCTTTTTTTCTTTTTCCTTTTTTCTTTTTCCTTTTTTCCTTTTTCCACTTTTCCGAATTTTGCGCTTTCTGATGGGAGTTTCCAAAGTCCGATATTCTTGAAACAGAAGGTTGACTAGGTGGTTGTATTCTAACCATAAAATCATTAGAAAAACAAGGTGCAATTCATGCTATGTGAGAGCCGATTTCATAACAGTTTAAAGAATTCGCTTTTCAAACTATTGCTTTGGGAGGACGTTGAGTATTACTTTGATGAATGGCACGTCCATATTTCTCAATAAGGTTGAACTGGTAAAGTGAAACATGGAAATTTAACACACACTGTCGAGCAGAACGAAATAGTGTCGATAGTGTCGATGTAGTCGGTGTTGTAAAAAGCTACTGAGTGTTGCTCGATAGTGTCAGTGACAGTCAGTGTAGTCGGTGTAGTCGGTGTTGTAACAAGCTACTGAGTGTTGCTCGATAGTGTTGGTCAGTGTGCTCCACTATTTCGCTCTGCTCGATAGTGTCATAAGTGTTTGCGGAGACAAGGGTAACACCCTTGCCCTAACGTCACTCATGACAAGTCGTAAAGGGATAACAAATGACGTATCCAACTACAGCTCTCCTTGCTGTTTGGTCCTGGAAAAAAATAGGACGGGGAAAAAAAAAAAAAGATCAAAGCCTTGAAAAATCTCCCCATCTACTCCGAGCGAATAAAAATCAAGCCTTTTTGCTTCACAGTATAAAAGAGAGAAAGGGTTACCATAACATGACCGACAAACGTATAGAGTCCGATGCTTTCGGGGAGATTGAAGTTCCTGCAAATAAATATTGGGGTGCACAAACTGAAAGATCATTTTCGAATTTCAAAATCGGAGATGCCAAAATGCCTCTTCCCATCATCAAGGCATTTGGGATTTTGAAAAAATCAGCGGCAATTGTCAATGAAGAGCTAGGTAAATTGGATTCAACCAAATCCAGAGCAATTCAACAGGCATGCGACGAGATTATTTTAGGCGAGTTCGATGATAATTTCCCCTTGGTTGTGTACCAAACAGGATCGGGTACTCAGTCCAATATGAATGCCAATGAAGTGATTTCAAACAGGGCAATTGAACTCCTTGACGGGAAGAAAGGGTCAAAGACCCCAGTTCATCCCAATGATGATGTTAACATGTCACAATCATCCAATGATACCTTCCCCACAGTGATGCATATTGCCGCAGTGATGCAAATTAAACAATATTTGATCCCAAATCTTGAGGATTTGAAAGAAGCTTTTGCAAAAAAAGCAAAAGAATTTGAAAAAATTATCAAGATTGGTAGAACTCATTTGCAAGATGCTACACCATTAACTTTGGGGCAAGAATTTTCTGGATATGTACAACAGTTGAAATTTGGAATTGAGAGAGTAGAAGGAACTTTGCAAAGATTATCACTCTTGGCGCAGGGAGGTACCGCTGTGGGAACTGGTTTAAATGCGCCAATTGGATTTGATGTTAAAATCGCCCAACAAGTCTCAAAATTGACTGGGATTCAATTTAATACAGCCCCCAACAAATTTGAAGCTTTAGCTACTCAAGATGCAGATGTGGAAGCTTCGGGTGCATTGAATACTTTAGCCACCTCTTTATTCAAGATTGCAAATGATATCAGATATTTGGGCTCAGGACCAAGGTGCGGGTACGGTGAATTGTCATTGCCTGAAAACGAACCTGGTTCTTCGATCATGCCGGGAAAGGTAAACCCAACACAGTGTGAAGCAATGACAATGGTTTGTGTCCAAGTTATGGGAAACAACTCCACGATAACTTTTGCCGGTGCCTCTGGACAATTTGAATTAAATGTTTTCAAACCAGTTATAGCTTACAATTTGTTAAATTCTATCCAATTATTGAGCGATGCTTGTAGATCATTCAGAATACACTGTGTCGAAGGTATTGTGGCCAATAAGGAAAAAATCGACAAATTACTACACGAGTCATTGATGTTGGTGACTGCATTGAATCCCAAAATCGGTTATGACAATGCTTCGAAAGTTGCAAAAAATGCTCATAAAAAGGGAATTACTTTAAAACAATCTTGTGTTGATTTAGGAATGTTGAGTCCTGAAGAGTTTGACCTCTGGGTCAAACCAGAGAATATGATTAGTCCTAGGTAGTTAAATCGGTACGTACAAATAAATATATAAAGACTTTTATGAATATCAATCGACAAATGCAGCAACTACAATGACAAAAAGTGATGTTGTGGGATCAACTTCCCGCATATGGCATCTTTTGTTTGCGCCACAAGGAAAAACGAAGACCCTTAATTCCGATGATTCTCCTTTTGTGTAATCAAACTAAATTTTCAAAGTTCTTCCGCCCAGTAGATTACATAAGCCAAATACATTGTAGATTCAGTAGAAATTGACACTTCCGAGGGTTTCAACTTGATGGTCTTTTCTTCCGAAGTCAGTCAACAAAAAGATCAATTGTGATGTGTCGAAAGGGCAACCAAACACCCAGGCGTTAATAAGTTTGGTTGCACATTGAGAATCTGTGTATAAATACTGAGAACTTTTGTCACTGTCTCGATGTGTAGTTATTCGCTTTAGGTAACGTTTTTCAGCAAAACAGAAATCAGTAGTATACATGTCTTTTCAATCAATTATCAAGCCAGAAACAGATTTCAACAGAGAGGTCCCTAGAGCCCCCTTCAAATTATCCAAAAACATAGTTGAGAGGTTTTCATTAAAAGGCAAAGTCACAGTAATCACAGGTGGTGCAGGTGCAATTGGATCTTGTATTGCTGAAGGTTACGCGCAAGCAGGTGGAGATGTCGTCATATTAGACCACGCTCATACAGATAATGGACTAAGCGAAAAATTAGCCAACACATATGGTATCCAATCAAAGTTTTATCAAATTGATGTCACTAATGCTGAGCAAGTCAAGGAAGTTGTAGCGCGAATCGTTGAAGAATTTGGTGGTCTAGATGTGTTTGTCGCTAACGCTGGTATTGCATGGTACACGGGATCCATTTTAAACTCCGACTCAACACCAGAGAATTGGAGGAAAGTGTTTGATGTCAATGTAAACGCAGTGTTTTATTGTGCCAAATATGCTGGGGAGGTTTTTCAAAAACAAAAAAGTGGATCTTTCATTATCACTGCTTCAATATCAGCTCATATCAATAATGTACCCAACTACCAAACATGCTACAACTCAGCAAAGGCAGCGGCAATGCATATGGCTAAAGGGTTAGCTGTGGAATTTGCAAATTTCGCTAGAGTCAATTCAGTAAGTCCCGGCTACACGGATACCCTTTTATCGCAACCAATACCTACACTGCAAAGAGCTAAATGGTGGGGTCTTACTCCAATGGGTAGAGAAGCCGAACCCGATGAGTTGGTTGGTGCGTATTTGTACTTGGCTAGTGATGCCTCTAGTTTTACCACCGGTTCAGATATCAGAGTTGACGGTGGATACTGTTCAGTATAGAAAGGAAAAGAAAACGGAGTTGGAGTTCGACACTATCGAGCAGAGCGAGATAGTGGAGCAACACTGTTTAACAGACTAAAGTAGATTTCCCTTTTATAGATAAAATCGACTTACTAGCAAGCAAAGCGAGCTAGTGGATCAGCACTGACTAGCACTCTGGTCCATTACTCTGGACGATTACTCTCTGAGTATGCCCTTATTAGATACTCTGGTCTATTACTCTGGACCATTACTCTCTGAGTATGCTCTTATTTGATACTCTGGTGCACTGGGCGACTTCTGCGTCGAGACTCGCGCGCCGGAAATTTTTCAGTTCCCCATTTGTATGAAGATCAACTGAATGGCATATATACAAATTTTCCACTTTTTTGGCAAGTATAGAGGTAAAAGTTTTCCATATTACAAGTTCTGACAAGGTGAGCTTATTGAGAAAAGGTGTAACAAGCTGAGGAATGCGTTTTGGAATACTGCTTGTTATTAGCGCTGCTTTATCAGCTGGTTTTGTTCCAAATGCAAATTTGAAACAACAGTACCAACAAGAACAAGAAGCATTGAAGATTTCTCTGCAGGCTCTTAGTTCCATTTCATTGCCCAACTTGCTCGAAATTAATGGTGTGGACGAAATTGTCAATTACGACGTTTCAAGTGGGGTATTGTACGACCAAGGACGATTGGTGATGGGTAAATCAGGCTCAATTTGGTCAAATGCAAATATACCGACAGGTCAAGGTCAAGGTCAAGCTTTCACAATTGAAATTGTATTCAGATCTAGCGGGAAATCACACGATATGCTATTTCCAGATAACAAGCTTGCACTATGGCTTGTGGATAGCTCCAGCGTTGCTCAATTGAACAAGTATGATGGATTTAAATTTATGATCAATAATCGGGATCAACAAGGTTTGAAGATTTTCAATAATGACGGATCATTGGAAAACGATGACGATGGCGCCTTACAGAAAAGTATCGGAGACTGTCAATTTAGATACTTGGAAAGCGACGTTCCTTTTACATTAAGAGTTTCGTATTCTGACAATAACTGGTTCAAGGTGCAGATTGATAATAATTTATGCTTTAAAACTGATAGGATCCAATTGCCTCGGAATTCCAATTATAAATTAGGGGCTACAAGCTTTATTAATCCTCAATCACAGGAATTATTTGAAATTTTGGCTGTAAAAGTTTGGGATGAGCTAACCGAAGATGCAATTGATGATCATGGACTTATGGTTGATGGCGAATTGAAAATCGACGTCGAACAAAAAGTAGTCGACGGCGACTCACAAGCACAAAATGCCAATAATCTCGCAGCAAGGAAATCACTAATGGAAAGAGAAAGGGTTCAAAGGGAGCAAATGGAGAAACTGAATGGCAACACAAACAATGAACAGAAAGAATCTGAAGTTTTGTCGCTGGACAACACGGACCTCTCATCAGTTATCGGCAAAATCAGTAATCTTGAATCTCTTTTGAACGATTTATTGAGATCAGTTCCCCTTATTCAATCATCAACTGAAAACTCAAATCGAGAAATTGCCCAACAAGTACAAAAAACACAAGTAACTTTACTGGAATTGAAACAAACGTTTGTCGAGCAGTATACAGAATTACTCAGAGCAGTTTCCATGTTGAATCAGAAAGTTATTGGAGAAGTAAGAGAACAGAATTATGGTATGGAAGAGTTGGGTAAAAAAGTGGACATGTTGATGAATGAACATAAGGAGGTTCAACATCAATACCAAAAACAACAAAATGAAGAAAAGGAAAAGAATAACGCAAAGACAGTCAAATCGCATGATTCAATGGCTGATAGGTTGATCAAATGGATTTTGTTTCCCTTGATGATTGTTCTTTTGGCATTGGTTGTCTTTGTTTATCGACTCAGACACGATATAAAACATTCGAAACTTTTATAAAAGAGATCAAAAAGAAAAATCTCATATATATAGATATATATATATAGATAGATAGATGCATGGAGGAATAATAAGCTAATTTGTCCATTTTCATTTGTTTCTCTTCCACTTTCACCACCATTCTCCTGTTTGGAAGAGAAGAAAAATGGGGGAGGGGGAGTGTTACTTTCCCTAAAATTCACTTCCTTCTCTAACGCCCCTTTTCGGGGTCCAACGTTGTTTCAGACTTGTCAACTTCATTATCAAGTAACATAGAGCTGAATCTTTTCTTTTTTGGAGAGCTAGATCTTTTTAATAAATTATGTGATTCTACTACTGCTGCTGACAATGATGATGATGATGATGATGCAGGCGGCGTAGTCGGAGATGTTTCCAATGTTCTATTGTTGATATTCTGCTCATCCTCCTCATCCTCTTCTTTCTCCTTCTCTTTCTCCTCATCCTTTTCCACTCCTTTTCTACTTTTAACTAGTACTTCATTAGTGGGTGAAGGAGTTGTTGAAGCTATTTGATCTTTCTTTTGAACCACTTGCTTCAATCTAGATTCCAATCTCGATTTGTATTTGGCTGCTAGTTCTTCACTTGATGTAGCCACAGATACATTTGAAGAAGAAGAAGAAGCAGCAGCAGCAGTTGTTGAAGATTCGCGAGTTACGCCCTTGCTACTTCCACCACTACCATTTTGAATATGTCTTGAACTTTTACGTTTCAACTCATTAAATATGGAATCTTTATACCTGAACAAGTCCTGCATGATATTGACGGGGTGTTTGTCATTGAGATACTGCCTTTGGCTGCTATGATCTGAGTACAAATCTGTTGTTATTCTTGGTCTCAATACTAATTTTCCAAATTCATTACAAAGACCTTGCTGCAAATTCCTGGCAGCTTCCTTGTCTTTAGATCCAATTATTTGCACAAGTCTTTTCAAATGGGTTAACAATGCATCTAAAGTAGCCAAATTACACTTTGGAGTCTCTGCTAAAACATTGCGTAAACCGTTTATTCGGGACTCTCTTTGGGAGTCGTCCTGGTACTTTGAATAAAGCAACTTAATAACGTCGTAAAAGTTATGGGGTATAATAGAATCAGGCAACTCCATAAAATATAGTTTGAGCACATTTGTGACAACTGATGGATTTGACTGAGTGAGAAGTTCATTGATTTTGTGAGGGTCATTTTGATCATTCAATTGTAATCTTAGTTTGTGAACATTCGAAAGGTGGATCGGTTGGGTCCAAATATTGATTCTTTCCTCGTCATCTTTCAATTCTGGGTAGACGTGGTCTAAGTGACTAAGGATACACTGAATCAAAATGGGTACCACTTTTTTATCGATTCTTGATTTAACGTTTAAATCTACTCCAAATGTTTGTCTGATATTGGAATCGTAGTAATTGTCATACAAGGTCACCTGAGGCTTGAAATTACCGGTTGCATAATTCTCAATAAGGAACTTGAGATCATTCTTTGGATTGATAGTCTCCTCCAAAAGTTGCAATTCACCGGAGATGTCTTGCATGATGTTTATTCTACTATGAAAGTTACCAATAAAGTCAAAAGTAGCCTTTTTAATCGCTTTTAGTCTATCCAATTCACATTTTTGCATAAATGTCAAGTGATCCATTACCAACTCTTCAAACTTGCACCTCTTGATATCCAACTCTACCACTTTGGTGTAGTATTGTGCGTCTAGTGAAGACACTTCATTCAAAAGTTTCGGATATTGTGATTTATCGGTGTAATCTACACTGCTTACGCCAATTGCTTCCTTGACATCATCAAAGTTGAACTGGCCAAGCCCCTTCCCAAAAGTAGCAGTCGAGTCTGTTTGATAGTCAGGTGCCAATTTTGCAATTTCAAAAGCTTTTGGCTTCCACTGATAGCAAAACTGGGAAGAGTTGATAAACAGCTTACCCATCGTGCCAATAATTTTGAGAAACTCATTCTTGATAAGATCTTGGCCAAAACACTCGGCTCTCTCTAAATTGTTATTTAGCTCGGGTATGTTATCTAGTGCCCATTGAGTTATTGCACTACCTGTTGATACATTTTGATAGGTGCCGAGTATTGGAACTTTATGAGCAAATTGGGTGATACCAGTCAACATTTGTCTCAACATCTCTTCTGTTTGTTTAGAGTTGAGCTTGGCGTGGGAGAATTCAGCTCCGCCACTACTTCCTTTTCCTGTTCCTCCATTGTCGTCGTCTACTCCATCTTCACCTTCTTCCTCGAGACCATTTTTCTGCTGCTGGCTAATTCTCTTTTGAAATTCCAAATCGCTTAATTCCTCCTGTAGCTCTTGCTCTGAATGATGATTTCTGAATTCCTCCAACATTCTACACTTGTTGAAATACCTTTTTTGCAATTTTTCAACTTGGTTTTGCAGATACTTCAACTTCTTATATTCGTCAGAGACGGTTGTTTGGGAATAGGCTATTCTTTGTTCATGCTCGCCACACCATTTCTCAAACGGTTTCAACACCAGATTTTCGATATTCTCAGCAATCTCCAAATGAAACCGACTTTCCTTGGTGAAATTCTCAATTAATTCACTGTATGCATTTTTGATAGTCGACACAAAATCGTCGTTGGTTTGGCGTTTACTGGTAGGCTTAATCTCTAAAGCTATGTTATGCAATGAGGTACCGTATAGCAACTCCAGCTCCATTCTCTTTCTGAACAAATTGACAAAATCATCATTTTCCCTAATACCTTCATTTAGCTGGAAAAATAATGTTTCAAACCCCAGGTGATAATCTTGGGTCCAAAAATTTTCAGCAAATGACATACCACCAAAGCAAGCTCAGACCAACAATAAGTCTATCCAAAATTCCAAAAATTCCAAGTACCCAGGCCCCTAAGAAAGCCAGACTTGTAACCTTTAATGGAAAAGAATTCAACTGAATGATACCTATTAATCATTAATTTCTCTTAACGGAATGTGAAATCTTTTTTTCTTTGTTTCGCGCTAAGCGGGCTTTGTGTTATTTTTCATCCATCTCGACCATAGACTATCGAGCATAGACTATCGAGCATAGACTATCGAGCAGAGATCATCGAGCAGAGACTATCGAGCAGAGACTATCGAGCAGAGCGAGATAGTCTATATATACTCTCTCTCCTCTCTATAGACTATCGAGCAGAGACTATCGAGCAGAGCGAGATAGTCCATATATACTCTCTCTCCTCTCTATAGACTATCGAGCAGAGACTATCGAGCAGAGACTATCGAGAAGAGCGAGATAGTCTATATCTACTCTCTCTCCTCTCTATAGACTATCGAGCAGAGACTATCGAGCAGAGACTATCGAGCAGAGACTATCGAG